TTCGCATCTTTGTTGTGTAAGAATCCAGTGATACCATTCATTCCAATAGAAAGAATATAGCCATGATCCTCCACACTTTCAACAGATGCTGCAACGATCTAATGAATGTCGTCAAAGACTAAACTAAAATCTCTTACATCCTTAAAATTATTAATAATAAATACTTACAAAGCCTTTGGATATATCAGCAGGTCCTATATCGCGATTAACGTCCTTCGGCATTAAACTTAGCTCAATAATATTATGTTGATTATGTTTTAAAGCACCATTCGATGCATCGTCACGCCGTATAAGTCCAGTAACCATACAACGAACCCACTGACCGACGTTAAATAATCTTGACAAATTAAGTAGAGAATTTTCATTATCGTCTTCCCCTAAACTCGCGATCTCTGAAATCCTTTGGGATATCTGGTCCGAGAGATGGGTTACTTTAACAATTCCTTTCATCTGATTTGGAAGTGACACGATAATATCCAAAGAATTTATCTTTATAATTTGTCCAAATATGAATGCACCGACGGTAAGATGCTATTTAAAAAAGTTAAACTTGTGAATTTTAAGCTAACCAAAAATGATAGGAAGATCACAAAAGTTAACTTACATGAAAGTTTAAATTTTCTACAAATCTTTCATTTTTATTCTTATGAGAGTTTTCCGGATCCTCTATGCTTGAATTTTTGAAGCCATCGGATTTTTTCTTAGAAGTCTTACTTTTACTCTTAACAGGAATCTTTGCTGATTCTTTAAAATCGTTCTTTATACGACACCGATCGATTAATGATGTTTAGAAGTAAGTAAAAATAAAATGAAATGCATTAATGCAAAGTATTCCCACCTCGAAAAGTTCGTCGTCGTTGACTTTTTCTTTCTTGAACGTGAATGGACGCGAAGAAGCGCCACCTCTTGGTAAATCAATTTCTTGCGAATTTGAATTAGCATTCTTTGCATTCGATTGTGCGACACCTACTGCGTTTTCATTCTTGTAAATCGTAGAAGGAATTAAGGGTTTAAAAAACAGACTGTCTTTTATGTTCACCTTTTACTTTTCTTTTATTGGATGGATCTTTTGAGCTAAGTGTAATTTCCGCTGACTTTCGTTTTTTATTTGACGGCTTTCCATTTTGCATCGACATCGTGTTAACTGGAAAATTTTTTTGATAACGACAAATTTAGACGTGACACAAGAATTCATATTGCTATGTAATTTTTTTATTTGGGATCTGCGATATCGGTTACACAACTTTTCCGATCAAATATCGATCAGTTAATTTTTTGATCTTATATATATACAGTATATACAGTATACAGTATATGTTTTTTTTTAAAGTAATGCATTTTCATTATTCTTTTATTTGCTAATAACTTGGGGAAGTATAGACTAGAAGTAGAATAATAAGTTTAACAATTATATTATTATTGATTTATTATATAATTATATTAAAAAGAATTTTAAAATTATATACTATAACTATATATAAAAGTACTGTAACCAAATATTGTATATAAATTTGACTTTAAGTTATAATTAAAATTTGATATACTTGTTTTTCAAAGTTGGCTTAATATATAGTAAGCAAAATTAAGAGTTTGATACTAGTTAAAATAATTTTATTCTATATACTACTACTTATTAAACATTTAATATAAAACATTTGTTATATTGATATTTATCAATAATTTAGTATATATTAAATAATAAACCCATTTTTTATTTTTATTTAATTTGTTAATCTTTATCAAATATTTAATATATTAATACTTATTAATTAATTATAATAATCAAAAAAAAATCAAATTAAATATAAATTTATATTATATTGAATTTTAGTTGTATTATTAATATTATTAAATATTATACTTACAGTTTAGTAAAATTATAACTAAATATTTACAAGAATTATATTAATTTAAAATTTTATATTTAATAAAAAAACTCTTTCCCACAACATTTCAATTCGTAAAAAATTTCCTTTTTGGGTAAGGTGCCAAGAACCGTGGATTGGTAAACAGTTCAAGAACTTCAGGATGAAAGTACTGATTAATAGTTCAAGGACTACAGGGTGCAAGGGTTCCGATTAACTTTTCAAGAAGAAGAGGTAGAGGTTTAGGGAGGGCCAAAACCTTTTCGGACAAACTTTTGCTTTACCGAAATGAAACTTAGTAAGCTTCCAATAAGGATTTTTTTTACACACCTCCAAATATATTGTCTAAAAACATGTCAAAACACAAACATTCCTTTTCAAAACTATATTTCATCAAGAGACAGTATTTTATTTTTTCAGAGTTTTTGTTTTCTACTGATAATGACTAGTGAAAGATTCTCCATAT